TGATTGAACTTTTTATAGATGTACTTGAAAAGGGCTGCAATGACAGCCGAAACGTTGTTGTATTTCAAATAATTATTTATAATAAATTATTGCCAGTCTGGTCGACTTTAAACATTGAGGAGTGGTTTTTTACAAATTTTATGTATTTATATCTAACGATATATACATAAAGAGGTGCATGTTTTTGTATATACCCATACAGCACAGATTATTGCAATTATATTGCAGCAACGTTGCAATGTTGCAAGTTGCAATGCAACATTATAAAGACATTGCAGAGATATAGGTGTACAAAATTCCAGCACACTTGTAGCAACATGACATTAATATTTCGGAAATATTGCATGTAATCCAAATTCTATAATTTATATATTGTAATATACATATACCCAGCAAACACCAAGTTACAGCTATATAATTGTTAGTTGTAATTTCCCACTCAAAAATATAATACGTGTATTATAACAATTATATTGTTGAGTGGAAAATTACAACTAACAATTATATAACTGTAACTTGGTATTTGCTGGGTATAATACTGTAATAAAATAATTTTTTGCAATATTGTACAATAAAAGATGTTAACGATAATCAATAATTTTATTAAATCATTGGCTTAAATTTCTGCGCCAAACGCTCTGCGCAATACATGTGTGCGTGTATAGCAGGCGCCGGCTTCGCTACGTAGACGTAGATTTATTTACATTTGTATACCTGTATATGCAACATTAGTTTATGGTTGCAATAACAATGCATTATTGCAAACTCATAACATTGCAATATTGTTGTAATATTTTGTTGCAATCTTCCAAAAAGCGGACATTTTAACATTGCTGCAATTCAACAGCAATGATGTAGCAACATTTTGCAGTAAATTTGCAATATTGCAATATTGCGATGAAAGATTGTTGTAATGTTTTTGCAATCTATCGGTGCTGTATGGGTATCGAAATTATATATATATCGATTTTGCAAATAATACATAAATGTCAATATTGCTATAAATATCAGCACTTGTCTCTTCTCCCTGTAAAATGAAACAAAAATTCTTTCTCGATTTACACCTACCTTGTCGTGGTGAAAAAGCTTTATACTAAAAGGTGTAAATAAGAGAGCAACAAAAATTAAATTAGAAGTAAATTTTATATCATGTTTTTTAGTGTCTAAAAGAAATTGTACAGACACTTGTACCTTTTCATCATATAAATATAAATATAGAAACACATATACATATTATGTATGTCAAAGTGAACAATAAATTGTGTTCAAATAAAGTAAAAAAAAACACATTTATATTTATATTCTTATCATCGACATTATACGCAAATATATGCGTATAAGATGATGTGTAACAATGTGTATATATAATTATTTTTTATAAAATTACAAGTTATATAAAATGGGACATTCTATTTAAATATATATCCTATATATACATATATATATATATATATATAGGATATATATATATATATATATATATATATATAGGATATTTAAATAGGATGTCCCATTTTATATAACTTGTAATTTTATAAAAAATAATTATATATACACATTGTTATATATATACACATATATATACACATTGTTATATATATATATATATATATATATATATATGTGCAGAGGTAGTTTTCGGGACATTGTGTGCGACACAATGGCAGTTTCCAGGACTTTTGTTGCTTTTCAGGACTGTCCTGAAAAAAATTATGTATCTAATGGCAGTTTTCAGGGCGTCCCGAAAACTGTCTTTGGACATATAAAGGAACTGTCCTCAAATGTACCTTTTAATATATATTGTTTATATATATAAATTTATTTGTATAATGGTACATTTCAGGACATATTAAGAAAATATAGAAATTAATATGTACTAATGAATATATATATAAAATACAATATATATATTTCAAAGAATGATTTCTAATAAAGATTCTAGTTAATATAAGCTTTATATATTGATTCCTATTTAATATACTTTAAAAATACATAAATTAATTTGTATACTGGTTCTTTTCAGGACATATTAAGAAAATATAGAAATTAATATGTACTAATGTATATATATATAAAATACAATATATATATTTCAAAGAATGATTTCTAATAAAGATTCTAATAAATTTAAGCTTTATATATTATTTCTTATTTAATATACTTTAAAAATACATAAATTAATTTGTATAATGGTTCTTTTCAGGACATGTTAACAAATTTACGAAATTAATATGTTGTATCGATGCATATATATCATGAATCACAATATATATTTTCAAGAAAGGATCTCTAGTAACGATGTAGTAAATTTATAAGCTTTACAATTAATTTTTTATTTAATATAAAAGTACAAAAATTTATATTTGTGTAATGGTTCTTTTCAGGACATGTTAACAAAATTATGAAATTAATTCGTTATCGATGCGTATATATATCGTGAATATCACAATATATATTTTCAAGAAAGAATTTCTATTAACAATTCTGATAAATACAAGTTATATATATATATATATATATATGTCAGTCTACTATTTTGACGACAGCAAAAAAGAATAAAAATTTTATTGTATACATAAGAGTACATTGACACTCTGATGTATACATTACTTGTGATTTGTGGTAAAATGCACTGGTACATATGTATAAGCAATTAAGTGTAGATCGGTTAGTACAGCGACAGTACAAAATTAAGTATAGTACATTTATACCCTAGCTATTTTGACGACACCATATGTTCAAAAAACGATTATTATGACACTCCAAAAGTAAATAAAGAAATTCTTCTTTTAAATAGCCATTATCATTCATCGAATATGCAAACAATCAAGATATAATAATTCAGGTTTCTCTGAACAGTTTCATAAACAGTCAAGAAATAATGCTTGCAAACATTTATTCATATGGTAGTTACACGATAGTTATTGCAGAATTGCTATTGCAGAGAAACACCATCAATTCTTTCTAGCAAATATTTCACTTATTTCACAATGCTCTGACATATGTGAGATTTAATTTTCAAAATAGTACAGTACAACATTGTTTATATATATTCTTAATTGTTTACAGGCAGCATACAAGAAACATCGATATGCAATATTATAAAAATATATTTTAATCTACATTATTTTAACATCATATTTTAAGATATGCATTATGTGAGATGGTACATACATACATACAATGTAAGCAATTTGTGTAAGCAATTAGGAATTCATCATTAAGAAGGTGAAAGAGGACGAAAGAGGGTGAAAGAGGACAAAAGAGAGTGAAAGAGGGTGAGAAAGAATGAAAGAGGGTTAGAGAGGACGAAAGAGAGTGAAAGAAAACGAAAGAGGGTGAGAGAGAATGAAAGAGGGTGAAAGAAGACGAAACAGGGTGAAAGAGGGTGAAAGACATATTATATATATATATAATCCTGATGACGTCAGCGGACGCGGACAGAGAAGAAGAAGACGACGTTACTTCATTTTTCATAAAAAACGTCACTTTTTGACCGCTTGTATCTCCAGAACGGCTTGACCGATTTTATTTCTTCTTGGCTCAAATTACTCTTGGCGATGCCGCCTTTCAGGTTATATTACGTGCAATTTAAAATTTTTTATATTTTAGTAGTTCTACACCCCCAAAAGATGGACTTTGATGGTGCAGGATAAGAGACTTGTAGTGTCTTTTTTAAGGTCTTTTAGGGTTTGAACATGGCCGGAGACACTACCGCGTCTCCTGAAAGAAAGAAAGAGAGAGAGAGAGAGAGAGAGAGAGAGAGAGAAAATATAATTATGATATTTAAAATAAAATCGTAGTTAAGATAAAGATTTCTGATAGAAGAGATATTAGATGAAAACGATACATCTAATGCAATTTACTTCTCTGCGCTTGTGTTATTTATGAAATGTGTATTCACAAGATATTACTAGTTGTCAAGTATAATATATGTAATCCTTTTATAAAAAAATTATATAAATTATTTAAAATCACTATATTTTACTTACAAACTATCTGTCATTGCTATATAGAATTAATTTTAATATTTTTTTCAATTAAAAAGACAGGAATATAAGTAAACATTTGAGACATTTTGAGATACAAAAATATTGTGGAGCTCTTAAGGAAACGGGAGGGCCCTCTTTTTGTAATATTCCAAGAAATTAATCTTGAAAAATTACGAAAATTTCAATGCAACAGACTCAGTTTTATATATATTATTAGATCAATGCAAAATAATAATGTTACAGAAGTTGTAATTGTATAAAATATTGTTTTAAAAGTTAATCAAAAAAAGCATAATTGTCCGTTTTAGGACAATTATTTAAATAATTAGTATCAAAATTAATTTTACTGATTTATTTTTTTTTTACAATTTGATGAATATAAATGTTATGTAAAAAGTAGAAGGATAAAACATTAAATATGTAGATAGTAGGAATTGTAAAAATATATTTCTATGTATAGTCTCAAAAAAGTATTCTTATATATTTGTTTAAAGCAATTTGAAATATATTTAGTAAAATAATAATTGAACAATGAACGTATGAGCATATACATGTATATTATATATATAAAAACACAAACCTAATACATATATGTATAATAGTATGTTGCACTTGTAATCATGAATACATATTATCAATAAAAGAATTAAAATAAATAACTTTACAAGTATTGCTTCTATACATATAATATAAATATATGAAGAAATCAAAATAAAAAACTTGTGTAGCTTTTGCTTTCTTTTTTATAAAATTCTCGCAATGTAACTTAACTTTTAGCTTAACGTGTTATATAATTAATTTCACATATTGCACTTGTAATCATGAATACATATTATCAATAAAAATTATAATAAATAACTACACAGTACTGCTACTCTACATATACATAACTTAACTTTAAGTTTTATGTGTTGAAATAATAAAAATTAGGTATTCTACTTATTTTTTGCATTTGCTTAAATACAAGTAATCTACGTATTATTTTTGAATAAAAAATTAAAATATTTCCGATTTGACTAAATAAATATTTTCTGAAAAAATATTTATTCATTTAGTGACGCTTAAATTTGCCAGATATATAGTTATGGATCCACGTTTTAATTTGAGCAACGGATCGATTAAATAAGCACTTATTTTTTTCTTTTATACAGGAAATTTTTTTGTTAGATGGCAGCTGTGAAGTGGTAATTTCTTTTTGAAATTCTTTCAATATTGTATTACGTTCTTCTTCCGTCCAACGTCTTCGTTTTGTTATACCAAATGGAGATGCTACAAAATAAATTAATTATCTATGAATCAGAATAAATATTTCTATATAAAAAGCAATAATTTACCTAAATTTTATTTAAATGTATTTTTATTTAAATTACTAGTAGAATAAAATTACTTTAAAATTCTCTTCAGAGTACTGACAAACTTTCATTAATAAGAAAATATTAAAATTATAACGTCATAATTATAAGAATAAAAAGAAATAGAAATGCAAAAATAAAATAATATAAAATAATATAAAATAATATAAAATAATATAAAAAATACAAATAATATAAATAAATATATAACTAAATTAAGCTAATGTGTGTGGAACCTTTATCATTTATCATTATTATTTTTTAATTAAATATTGTTATTATGTACATTAAAATTCTATCAAAAAATGCATTATAAATAAAAGCTTAATATATTAATATACTTTGACATAGTCACATGAAAATATAATACTAAATAATATTTAAAAGAAAATCCACTCTGACTTGATAAGTTTATAAAAACTGAATACAATATGTGAAAATGAGAAAATAAACTTACTACTGCCACGTTTCTTTATCTTTGGGGAATAAGTTTCGTCAGAATCATTGTCATTATTCACTATAGTATGGTTTTGATGCACGATTTTCTTTTTTACAGATTTTTGTTGTTCATCTGTTACGCTAAGAAATTTCGGTAATTTCCTTTCTGTTCGTAATAAAGAAGGCTTACGTGAACTTATCATACATGTTTCGGCATCGTTTTCCGATTCTGCACTCGAAGTATCTTTGTTTGTTTCTTGCATCTCTTCCTCTTCTGTTAATAATAACACAATATTATGATAATTATTATATATGTATATATATATGTAACCAATTCTTGAAACTAAGGGCTAATATATGCTACAACCGCGGACGTCGATGCATAAAAATTGAGTAAAGCAGAATGAACACAATAATGAAACGTATTCTCAATTTGAATCCATTTCAATGAATATATCATATTCATACTTTGATTTAATAGGTTCCAAACGTAACGTTTCATTGTTGCATTCATTATTACTACTTTTATTTCTACACAGACATCCATGATCGTGGCACACATTAGCCTTAATTTCATAAGTTTTGGTTTATACGGACTTTTGTCTGATTTTTTCTTCTAATTAAATAGATATATTAAGAATGCAGAAAAGTTTAAAAAAGGAATACAATAATTAATATATTTTATACAAAAATTAATATATAAAAAGTACTTGTGGCATATATATAATAAGATAAATAGTGTATATACCTGAATCACTATTATTAGATTGCTGTTGCTCATTTTCACCTAATGCTGCTTCAAGAAATTTCGTCATACGAACTATCTCTACAGCTGCTATTGACTGTCGATAATGGCGTTTATGAATTTTCTCGTGATGTCCCATAAAGTTCGCCAAATCATCCACTTCATTGTCAGATAAATTTAACGTAATGCATGTTGTAGCAATATGTTTACGTAATTCAGTACCTCTTAAAGAATGTGGTATTTGTGCATCACATTTTTTAGAAAAATATCGCATAAGGATACACGCTCTTAAATATTTGAAATGACGTTTGGTACTACTAGGTATGCCAAACACATACGGATTTTTCTCAGGAACATTTGCATCCTTTCGCTGGTTCAAAATTAGTTCAACACATTGAACTAATACCATGTCTAAAATCACAGGCACTGTACGTCCCAATTTTCCACGAATTAAGAATCTTACGTATTTATCAGCAACCTATATACAAAAGTTATATATGGATTATTATTTTGCATCATATACCATATTGTGTGTAATTTAATTATAATATTTGTAAACAAATAATATTTATACATAATATTTATAAATAAATTTATCATATTTAATACTTTGTGTAACATCATCTTTCCTCAAAACTGGGAATAAAAATTTTCTTACTGTCTCAATTGCACATTCATGAATTCTGCCCATCAAAGCACGTCCTAAAACTTGTACATTTCTGCCTTTCGATTTTCCTACACATTCTTTAAAATGATGCCTGATATTATTTTTAGTGAACCATCCTTTACACTTTGCGCAACTTATAAAATCTTGTACTGTTTTGCAACTATTTTTGGCAGGCCTTCGACAAACAATTAATTCTCCCGTATTTAAGAAAGGATCCGTATTATGTATGAAATTCCTTTTTTTTCTAATAGACTCTATAATTTGTTTTCTTTCTAAATTACCTGCAATGAGAATATTAAATAATGTATATATATAATGTAAATATATTAATAAAAATTATAACATATTAATATATTATATTTAACAAATAATCAATATTTATAAAAAAATATACTATAAACTTAAATAATTATACAGAATTGAAAAATATGATCACCTTTTGGTAATAATACAAATTTCTTTACTTCAGGTTCCAATTTATGCACGTTTTCTAAATGACGTGCAATTTTACTCTGAAACTTTTTGCAATAGTAGCAAAAATTTTTTTTTTGATGTCCCTTTGGTTGAAAAAATGGAACATATAAATTGTCTTCTCTAAAACCAAATGTATTGATAGAAGAAAGATCTATCAGTGATTCTGAAGAATTTTTATCATTAGTTGCAGATACTTTATTGCGGAAGCTTTCATGTTCCGTAATTTCTTTGTCAATTGTAATTTCCAATGCTGAAGGTACATATTCCAAAATACTTGATGAGTTTGCAGAAGCAATATTGTCATTAATATCATCACGGGAAATCATATTATTATCACTATCATTACTTAATGTGTTTGCACAAGCAATGTTGTCATTAATATTTTCATCATCACAGGAAATCATATTATTATCACTATTATTATAATTTATAGAAGCTTTGGCGTTAGTGAGATCATTTAACATAATAGAATTATTATCATCATTAAAAAAATATATCATGACATCTTTGAGAACAATACCCGTTTCAGACACATTGAAATTATCATTATCACAGGAAAATGTAAGATTATTATTATGAGAATTATTACTGTTCATAAAATTAATATCAATATCAGTATTTACATAACAGTTATCATCATCACAAGAAAGTATCACATTATCAAAATCAGTATCATTTGCAGAATTGTTAGCAGTAATAGTACTATCTACTACATTATGATTTCTGTCATTACAGGAAAATGTAATGTTAAGTTTAGTAGCTTTTACTCTATTCTGCTCATTATTAGACTCACTAGGAATTATCATAGCATTATCACAACCAACATTTTTCTTAGAATTATTAGTTACACAATTTTCATCATTTATTGCAGTGTGATCATGTTCATTAGAAAATGTCCCGTTGTTATCAAAATCAGTACTATTCGCAGAATTATTGTCATTAATATTTTCTACAATGCTATCATTTCCATTATTATCGGCATTATTATTTGTAAAATTATCAGTATTACCAATAATTTTCGTTTTAAATCCGTTATTAGAATCAACGTGTTTTATAAGATAATTGATGTTACTTTGATCATTTGCATTGTGGCCTTGTTCATTATAAAGAAATGATACTACATTATTGTCAAAATCAATAGCATTACTTAAATTGTTAGTATTAGTATTCTTTTTAGTATAATTCATATTGATAATGCAAGCATCTTGTGGTATTTCTGTAGTTTCTACAAAAAAAGTATAATTATTGTAAAAAATAGAAATGCAATATATTGCATGTAGTTTTAGAATTATAATACTATAATACTTACTATTATTATTATTGACAATTAATTTTATGTTTTCCAGAGCAATACGTGGATTATATGTATTTAAACTTTTAGCAATTGCAAGAATATCATTTTTATTTTCTGTAACAATAAATATAGTAATTTCAATTATTTATATATAAATAACCACAGAAATTAACGCGTTGATGCAAGAATTTAACTGAAAAGAAAATTAAAAAGCAGTGCTGAGTAAAAACTTTAGATTTTTACGACTTAAGTTAATATTAACCTGTTAAAAATCGAATAAAAAGGTTACGTGCTGTTGTGCTCAATATTAACAATATTATTGCAATGTAAACATTTTATATTATTTTAAATAAATATAGAATGGTGATACTTACTATTCTGTGCAATTGTACGTATAATACATGTTTTTTTACGATTCCTAACTGGACATTTTACGCGTCTTCTCTTGTGTTTTATATTTACATGATATTTATGATAATTACAAAAAAATAATATATATTGTGACATTTTTCACTTAATGTGATGCAATCGCGTACAAACGAAACGAAACGATTTTCATTAAATGTAAACCGAAATCTTATATATATTACGCAATATCTTATGCAATATTGCTAATAAATATGGAAGGTGCCGGTCCCGCCAAATTATAAGTTTGTTCGCATAGCAGGCTCTCCCCCAACATACTTCTCGCTCCAATGCGATCCTATTGGATTATTTGGATATAAAGATGCTTTTATATGATAGCATCAAACGTGTCGGCGTAAAAACTCATTGCGCAAATGTTAAATAAAATAGATTTCAGCTTCTTGCTGCTAATAATAAGATGAATCATACGAGATCATACGATGAATAAGTCGAGATCAAATGAATATTAGCACATATTAGTACTGAAAATTAATATAATATTAATTATAATCATTATATTTATTATATTTATTAATATTATTAGCCACAAGAAGTTATTTTTTATCTTATGTGACATCTGCGCAAACGTAGATGCTTGACGCTTGATGCTAGCATGTAAAGGCACCTTTATGGCTCCTGCACACCAGCGCGATGACGCGACACGCGATGCGCGATATCCAATGAGCGTGCAGCTTTTCCGCACGTCATATCCGTCGCACTATAGAGTGCGACATCGCAAAAAAGTTGACCAAGTTTGAAGATTTGTAGCGCGCGACGAGCGATTTACTGCGATCCTATCTATAGATGCGATGTCGTTATAAACAAAGAGGATCTCTTTGGTTATAAATAAACGTGCAACGACATCGATCCGAGAGTGATATTGTCATTAAATTATAAAATTGCAATAAATGGTAAATATGCAATAAATGATGTTAGGTTTCGTAATCGCGCATCGCGTTTATATGAATAGGTAGAAAATCCTATTCTCGCGATTCGTCGCATATCGCGTGTCGCGTCATCGCGCTGGTGTTACTGAGACTGAGAGAGAGAGAGAGAGAGAGAGAGAGAGAGAGAGATTGCGGTGGAACGAGTTAAACAGTATTTAGATCATGTGCCGACTGAAAATACAATGGGCACTAATCAACCTTACGCGTGGCCTAGTCAAAGTGTTGTGGAATTAAAAAAGTTGTTTTGATGTACAGGTAATATTTTCAAATTTTTTGATAAAGATAATGCACGATTGTAACATTTGGTAAAAGAAATTTTTGTAATTATATTCGCAGGAACCATTTAGTGCCATCGTTGAAAGAGATAACATTCGTTACTCGACCAGCGGAAAAAATAGACGTCGTTGGTCGCACCGGTGCTGGAAAAAGTTCGTTACTAGCTTCGTTGTTTAGACTGACAGAGATCAGTTCTGGGAGTATATTAATCGACAACGTGAATATTCAAACGTTACAACTGAACACATTAAGGTATTCATAAACTTGCAAAAAATAATCATTGTATGTTAACAGTTGTAAAGAAAAGAAAAACATTCCAGATCCCGTTTAGCAATTATACCTCAGAATCCGTTTCTTTTCTCGGGTACTAATCGAGAGAATGTGGATCCGTTGGATCAGTATACCTATATGCACATATATACAAAACCTTCGAGAAATGTAAAGTGCATTCTTTAGTTCATCGAATGGATGGTTTGGATGCAGTCTTGGATGAAGGTGGTAGTAATCTCAGCACTGGGCAGAGACAATTGTTCTGCTTAGTCAGAGCTGTGCTACACAATGCGAAGGTACTTCTTATCTGTAATATTCAAGAAAGCAATTGTTCCTGTATTAATGACTTGATATTTATTTATCTCTGTGAAATTAGTCTTTTTTTCTTACTTTCTCATTTGCTTTGCTTTTGAATAAAAAATTCTTAAGTACCTCAAATTGAAAAATTATCTTCGTAAATCCAATGTTTAATTATGGGTTCTATGTAATCCCTCATGGATTCTAACAATTATTATTAAGAAACTAGAACTAAGAGTGTAAACATTTTCTGCAATTCTTCTGAAGATAAATATTTCAAAATTAATTTAAATAATTTTTTTTAATTTGCATTTTTTTACATAATGGGAAATGTCGTTAAGTTATAATCTTTTAGGTATTCAAATTTTAAAAAATTTTTGTAATAATTATGTGATAAATATAAAACACAAGACGATACACATTAATTGTTCAGTTAATAGGAATTTTAAGAAAAACATGTATTATATGTATAATTGTACAGAATAGTATCATTATTATATATTTATTTAAAGTAATATAAAATGTTTTCATTGCAATAATATTGTACGTATTAAGTGCATACAACAGCACATAACATATTAATTTGATTTTTGGGAGGTTAATATTAATATAAATTGTAAAAATTCTAAAGTTTTTACACAGCGCTTTTTAATTTTCTTGTCAGTTAAATTCTTGCATCAATGCGTTAATTTCTGATTACTTATATTTAAATAATTAAAATTACTTTATTTTTATAGAAAGTAAAGACGATTTTTTGGATATTGTTAATAGTTTAAATACTTTAAATAGAAATAATCCACGCATTGTTCTGAGAGACATGATCACAAAGCTTAATATATTAATATACTTTGACATAGTCACAATTATAATACTAAATATAATACTAAATATAATACTAAAATATAATACTAAATATAATACTAAAATATAATACTAAATATAATACTAAATAATATTAAAGAGAAAATTTACTCTGATTTGATAAATTTATAAAAACTGAATAGAATATGTGAAAATGAAAAAATAAACTTACTACTGCGATGTTTCTTTAT